CCACACCCGGTAATGAATGGCTGCCACCTGCCCAAAGGACAGCTGTACCCATAGAAAGTAATCAAACAAAAATTCTCATTTTGTGGTCTATCTTTATTTGGCAAAGAATTTAGACACGGCGAAAGAGCTTGTTGCAGTACAGTAGAGCCTGCAGAACATCAGTAGCAAGGGGGGAAAAAAAACCCACATGCATTTTGTGAGAGGAGTCATTCTCAGGACTTTCCCTCCAATGTACCTGAATTGTGACTCACCAGCACAAGATTTGGCATGCTCAGATTGTGAGGGCAAAGGCACTAGGTCAACACACATACCAGCTGTCCTTTCCCAGTAATTCCCAAAACCACACTGGAATTCCGGGACCTCTTCAGAGAGGCTGGGACAAAGATACAGCAAAGTACACTTAAAAAAAAAAGTCTATTGCATCTGAGTTATCTGTACTGATCCCAAAAGGATAAAGGTCACGGCAACTAATTTCTAGGCTCAAAGGGACACTGTAATTGCAAAATGACCCTGAGTTAAATGTCTGAGTAGTGGGAAACAGGATACTGAGCCAGATCAAACCTCTCAAGACAGATACTCTTCTATTTAACTAATATTCAAAGTGTCACCTGCACTATAAAAGGTGGTGATGAGTATACTCAGTCACTGGAAATGAATTGTGTCTTGCTAGAGCTACAGAACTGCAGAGAAAGTTGATCTGAAGAAATAACAAACAGAAGGAAATCAAAATTTGAAAAGCCATCAGAAAGATGGAATAATAGACAAATTCTTGGTAATTTGGCTCATAATTGAAAAGCAAGATACCGTTTAACAGTCCCAAGTCTCTTCCGACCTCAACCACTTGATCAGTGACCAAAAGAAACAGTCACCAAAAGAACAGTGACCAAATCCTGGCAGTCAAGCCCACCGCAAAAAGAGCGATGACTGACAGTGGCGTTAATTGAGGATCCGTCTGAACAAAAGGGAGGAGGGGGAGGAAAAAAAAAAAAAAAAGTGTAGCATGCTCTGAAGACAGCAATAAGGAGCCCACTAACTCTCATAAGGCATGCCCACGTAAGTAAGGTAAGAACTGAAGTTATATCAGCAGATCCAAAGCACTGATACAACTTCTTACTAATGCAGTCCCAAGTCAGCACAGCTCACCAGAGGGGTACACCCAGCACCCTCTGGTATGACTTCAGCAGGTGACACGATTATCTTAGCATGTTATTCACACCTAGAAACTGCAGCAGTTACTCACTGCCAAAGACAGATACACAGTACAATTAACAGCAGTGAAGCACTGAAAAAGAACTGGTTTTACAGCCTGCCTGTATTTGGTCTATGGAACAAGATGAATGGCTCCAAAAAAGCTAAGATCTAGTTTTATCTTGACATTATGTGTCCTTAAATCGCTGCACCTGTATTTCACTGCAAGTTAATTCTTACAGCAATGTAACGGAGATCATTCAAGAACGGCTTTTAGAAGTCATAATTCCCAAGCAGAATAGAATAAGTTTGCTTCCACTCCCAGTCAGACAGTGCAACTGATTCCATGCATTGAGAAAGCATACTTCCGTCATACCTTTGCCAAGGACAGGTTTAGACATCAGCTTTATTAAAAGGCCAGGAGATGTGTGCAAGTTTGTGTTCTCACATATAAAAGCTTCAGATACAGAAAAAAAGAAGGGGGGAGAAACCCCAAGCGACGGCAGGAGATGAAACCATCAATGCAAGCATTCTTCCCATCTAAACGTAGGATCTTATTTGCGCTTGTCTTCAGCCGCTGTGATAAATTTGGCAGCAAAAATGAAGACCTGAACATCTATCATTGATGTGGAAAAATTCTACTGCAAACAAGACAGGACAGACACTAGCACCTTGCTTGCAGTTCAAACATAGTATTTTGCTTTAAGAACTGCAATTGCTGTCAAAGATTAACTCAAAGCACCATCATATAGAAGCTGAAGCTGAGGAATTTGTCAAAATGAAACCAAACTGATAAATCAGCCTGGCTTTTGCCAGGCAGCTGTTACTTCTGTTGTTTTAAGCACATTTTGGCACATAGGAATTCATGCACATCTCTTAGTCATTCCTAAACTGATAACCAGCCCCACAGCACGTATTGCCAGCGCAGACAGGCAGCATGCAAGAAGAGTCAACAGCCAAACCAGCTCTAAGCAGTCGGTGTGGGCTAGAGCCAGTCCAATTGTTTGTCTCTGTTATCAGCTCCCTAGGTTTGTTTGAGTTCCACAGAGATAATACAAAGGTTATATTTGGTGACTATGTAGGTTGACACACTGAGACGCCTAAGAGCCCCCTTTCTTGTAATCAAATAAGAAGAAACCTGCAGCAACAAGGGCAAGCCATAAAAATCACTGCTGCAATTTTTTCCCTTTGCAAAACCATAACCAGAACTCAAAACAAACCCTGAATTTCCTCGTTATGTCTCTAGCTGACCAGATCCACAAAAGCAATAAACGAAGAGACGGATAATCCTGTAGCCGTTTGTTTCAGACCGCGGAAAAATCTGGTGTGCCTGAAAAACTGTTCCGACCTGCCTCCTTTCTCACAGTTGGTCTAATAAGAAGTGATTTGTCCATACAAACTTACCTATCCCCTCCTCCTTACCTATCCTCATTAGGATATATCATTAGGACATCACAACTTTGCACCTTTTAGACCTTTATAACAAAACAACTGCAGCAAGTAGTTAATGTCTCTTCTAACATGTTCCAGTAATCAGTTTTTTTCCTCTTACCAATCCACTGACCTGCTCAGTGGACTGCAACAATCCTGCTTTTAATACACAGTTACACAAGGCTATAAATAAAAATATTGAAGGAATATGACTCTCTACCCTGAGGATTTCTAAAGCCTGTTGCAGCGCTGAACAGACACAAGGTATCAGCCAGCATTTTTCTTAGGACTCAAATCTTTGGTGCGTCTCACCTTCCCTTTTTGTGATCTATTTACTCAACCCACAACTGGCAGAACTTCCTTTGTATTCTGTTCATCGTAGACCTCCCCCCCCCAAGCTCAAAGCTGACACTACAGCTTTACTGAAAAAGAGAATGTCAGGAGCGATTTTTCTCTAATTATTGAAAATATGGGGAAAATACATTGAAATACAGGCAGTGGATTCCCTTTTCAAATCCAATGAAACATAGGAGAGCAGGGCATTCCCTCCCTTCCTCAACAAGGGAAAGGGGGGCCCCCATCGCCCAATCTGCTATTCCACACATGCTAGTCCGCTGCCTTATCAGCCGTGCCACCCACTACGCTGCTGGAAGAGTTTCTACTGATGTCATGGAGAGGGATCTTTTTAGCACATGCTTCACCTTCTGCATGCGCAAGCATATACGGAACATAGTGCAGGACTACAGACTCTGGGAACCGTTTTAGCTGATGCACAAGTCTGACTGCAATTGCCTGAACCTGCAGCCAACTTTTACTCCATCTATAAGTTACTCCATTACAGATCAGAAAAGGTTTCTGATTCTAGCTGATGCATTATCACATGGACCATCACATGGCATAGTTAGATTAAGGTAACCTGTGTCATTTCCTGGCACAGGAGGCTCAGTATGCATCTGTGCGACATACTCGTTTATACATAGCCTAGTTATTCAGTACTGTTTTTTTGAATGACCAGTCTAACACCTGCTACCACAGCTAAGAATAAAACCCTTTGGGAACATGGCTGGCTACAGGCTTGGGATACTGGAAGACTGCAGTCAATGTACTGCATAAAATTAACTTGTAATTCTTTATTAAAGAAGTGCAACTTCCACCGTAATTCTAAAATTCAATCAGTTTCCACATAACCAACAACATACTGTTAATACCCAAGTCAAAAACGGTATAGTTGGCTCTTCCCTCCACCGTCAAGTCTTTCCTGACTTGTTTCTAGGGCATCCCAGAAACAGCTAAGGGACTAAATGTACTAATATTTGTGTTTTAACTAGCAATACAAACAGAAGGATAGAGCAAAATATTAACTAAGTTGTGATATTTTTATTAGCAACAACCAAGAAGGAGCATCTTAAGAATTACCTCCAGTCACCAACAAGTTTGAAAGGAAACATGAAACACTAAACATTTCTGAGGTAGACAGATATCTGGGATATTAACTTGTCCACTTATTTTCAGCACTCATTCTTCTGAGGCAACAAACTACTGAAGGAAGCTAGGACGGAGGGTAGAGGGAAAAATATGAAGATAATCTAATTCAGTGCTTTACGCAAGATAGATTTAGGTTGCCACTTAGAAAAAGCATGCTAACTGCAGTGACCTTTCCTCAGTTAAAAATGGAGGCTTTCCAAATAGTTGTGATAATCAAAAAATGTGCAAGAAACCATACCTGCTTTCTAGGCTTGGTCTGTCACAGAGACAAACAGTACTGCCAGGTTCCTTGTCTGAATCATCCTGCTAATTGGAAAAAAACTCAGAAGCGCATCCTACTCCCTCAATTACTCACATACTACTTAAACAGCCGCACACTCCTATTCACTAATGCGAGGACAGCTTTGTTTATGGTGCTGTATTTGTTACTCACCTAATTATACGAAGGTGGAATAAGCTGAGACCTTCGCTCAGAAACGTCAACAAAACACTTAAGCAAGAAGCAGCACAAAGAACCAGGCACTATCCTCAGACCCTTTTACAAGCTACTGATGCAAGAGAGGGCAGAGATGCTCACCAAACTCCAGGGGCACGTACTGGCAGCAGTGCCGAGCTGCCTGGTCTAACACATGCTCCTAAGTGCCATGCCCCGCTCTTTGCGGGGTGATGGCCGGACAGAAGCATTCTCCAGGCTACAATCAGACCAGACTAAGGAGACATTGTACCAGATCACAGTAGTTATTTCTGGCCTTCCGGTGCATTAGCAATGGAGATGACAACCAACCATTCGAGATTAGAATTGGCAAAGATCAACATTTAAGAAAAAAATACCGTGATGCAAACAAACCTACTGATCCAACTTGTATCATTAAGCATAAGGCTCATTAAACACTTACCAAGGCAACATTTCTGCACCTAGCTTGGATGCTGTGATTCTCCACACTGCCACCCCTCTCCATGCTCCCAAGTGTATGATTTGGAGAGATTTCAGATGCCATTTCAGAAAAGTCTGACAGGAGATTTCTAGGCATCACACCCTCTTATTGATCCCGATGCAGTGCAGAACGTCATCGGCGGGTTATGTAGGGCTGTAAGCTGTATTCATTTCTGAAAGCAGAGAACAGTGTGTTATATTTAAATTCACTTTTTAAAATATTTTAAGGGGGGGGGGGAAATAAGTAGTAAAAGAAAAGATCCTAAGCAAGGTAATAGAAGGCATATGTTCAGCAGCCTAGAACACATGCACACCACCTATGGGCATCTTAAAAAAAAAAGTCTTATAAAGTCACCTTTCTAATAAGATCCGATATAACAGGGCTCTGTATCTAACCTCACATGCCTCCAAACCAGATAGCTCAATTTACAAGCATGGACCCTACATATGTACCTGCCCTACAGAATCAGTTTGAGTTTTCTGTTATAACACATCATTAACAGGAACAAGATCCCACCGGTTGAAAGACTAACTCACTCTGCTTCAACACCTTAATCTTTTATGAGCTTTTAGGCAAGAATTCTATTCATCAGACCACATAAGGGAAACAATCTAACTCATTCGCCAGCACGGTTGAAGTTAACTCATTTGTTGGTCAAGCAGTTTTATGCTGACTACTTCTGGTGAAAAGATCCGTGAACAGAAGGGAGTGCCATTTTTATGTCATCACGTTACATAGCAAAATTGGATTTTAAAGCTTATAGAGCTTTTATTTCACTCAGCCATGAAAAAACAGCACTTGCACGTTTGGAAGAGGCTTAGGGGAACAGACATATGCACCAGCCTTTACTGGAGGCAGAAGCCACCATTTGCTCAGTCTTATAAGCCCCTCTCGGATTTGTTACAATCACCTAAAACACACTGGTAGAACTTTTTCCTTCATTCTCAAGTTACCACAAAGACAAAAATCATCCTTTTGCACTAACAGTGCAAGCTGGGGGAGGAAAGGAAAGGGGAACCTCATCTTGCTCCAACACATTAAGACATCCTTCGCAACACGAGCTTGCATTATACCATGGAGTGAAACGTCTTGCTCTCCAACAGCCTTTCTTTCCAAACACCCTGCCTAGGAAATAGCAGAGACAGATTCCTCAAAATACCTAGTTCTGAGATACCAGCTGGGAACTGGAAACCATTACCCTGACCCTGAACAAATGAAATGAGATGGCCCTGCTTCCCAAGCGCTTCTCTTTTTTTTTTTTATGGTTTGTGGTTTGAGAAGTGACATGAGAAGCAAAGTCAAGTCTGCATTTCCAATTCAATTGGACTATTTCTCCTTCCTCTTTAGCCCTGTTAGCTCTGAGCTGGGAAACCAGAGCCTCCCGGTAAGCTGATCGGCGTTTCATAGCAAGGAGATAACATCTACCAATACCGAGCAACAATTCCACCCTGCTGATCGCTTCCTCCCCAGAGAGGGCTATGACATTACCAGAGGTACCTACCAGCGCTCCCTCGTCTACGCCAACACGCCTTGTGGGAGGACTCCCACACAGCTTAGCTAGGCAACAGTCCCCCCAGTCTTATGGGCGCGACCCAACAGGGCACTGGATTTCCACCACAAGTGGATCCGACAGACTTAATGTTCATACGAAGGGCTAACGATTAAGCTTTCGGCTTGCTTTCAGATGGGAAAGAACATCCTTCCTTTCCTCCATTAATAACGTTAGCTACAAATAATTACAATGCCTCCTCAAGATAACGGTCTTTTCGTGATGCCACAGAGCAGAAACACTCTCAGCCTCGGCGTTCATAATTGCACGAGACAGGCATACACTAGAGCACTGCTGCAGCTGCTACACCTCTGCTTGCCATATACCTAGGCTCAAACCAAAAGGCTATGCTAGAGGAAATTAAAATAGAGAAAAAGGTGCCCAAGTCTAAAACTGCAGTAGTGGCTCAATCTCCAACACCAAATGCTGGGGCCCAGAACCGTAGCACTTAAATGAAAGCAACAATTTTAAAAGGCAACACTATCAGCGAAAATCTCAGCCCCTCTCAAATTCACAGGAGATGCCCACTGACTTGAGATTTCTTCCTGGGTCTTTGCAGGTGATGTACAGATGGAGAAGACTATCTTCCCAAGGAGGAACCAGCAAAAAAAGCAAGTATTCCTACTGACACTCGACATAAGGCATGTATTATTTCTCATCAGCACTTTTAAGAAGTTGCCTCAATTTGCATCCAGGAGTCCCAGTACGAGTTGAACATGCCATGTTTGTTCTGTCCCTCAGTGATGCTTTCTAGACAATGACTAGATTTCTAGACTCGTACTCAACAGCTCTTCATGAGCCTTTCATACACTACCACAAACCCTTTGTAACAAGAGTTCATAGCTCACTGTCCCCAGACTACTGTAGGTATCAGGGCCAAGATCCCAATTTAAAGACTAAACTAATGAAAACTTTAATCCAAATTACCAATAAATCACCCAGCAGGCCAAGACTTTGTGGGAGAAGGAATTATTTAAGGGTACCATGCTGCTTTTTCCAACAGCAAAACCTTGACAGAATCAGTCTGAGCCTCGCAGTCAGCTATCTGCCTGCAGGACAGCAGAAAGCAGGAATACCCAGATTCAGCAGAGAGAAAACACTAAAGCCAGAAGCTCTAAATAACGATGAATTATTTTGCTTCCAGCAAGTTCCTATCATTCATCCTAGAGTTCAAGCACGGATGTTTCACAGAGCTCACGAACAATGAGCAAACCCAGTGACTGCAGCTGCGAAGGAGCCTCCCACACAAGAGCAAGCAGCAGGCACCATGGTGGTGGTGGTCCTGCCTCGGTGGTGTAGCTGCTGCTTCTTTAGAGGTTTTACTCACTTTAAAAAAAAAAAAAAAACAAAAAAAACACACAAGGCTTGAGAGCAGCACTATAGACTGAGTCTGCAGACAGGGAAAAACAAGACAAGCACACCTTTCACACCATCTTTAACACTTTAAGAATATGCAGCAGTAAGATTATATTCCATTCACATAAATATATTCCATTCCATTTCTTGTCCCCTTTGCTATGGTTTTTATGCTTTAAGGAAGAAGCTACTCCTACGTATTTGTACAGCAGCTACCATCAGTGACAGCTTTTTTGGAATTACCCAGCACTGCTGCAATACGTACAGCATGTTTTACAGACAAATGCCCTTTCTAACTACAGATAATGCAGAAGTCTCCTCACCTGTTTTAAGTCGGTCTGTCAGAGAAGTGAAAGACTGCTGATTTAGGAGGGAAGTAGCCAAGACTAACAAACTTCAGAAAGATCCCACAGTATGTTTCTGTGGGATTGCCTCAGTAACCAGCAAGGGTTCAAAAATAAGGTAACCATCCTCACAGCGGGAGGACAGCAGGACAACAGGCAGCTGCTCCTCTTGACCTTCAGAGAAGCATTAAAAATGGAAGCTGCTCACCACAGGACCTGTTTCTTGGTCTATGCGACACATATTATAGAAATACTATTAAAATGTGCTGCCTGTACCATTAGGGATTAAGAACAAACAAACAAAAAACACACAGACAACGGTACAAGAGTACAGAAGCTTTAAAGCAATGTGGTATTTGGCAAGAATATCTCAAATCCTAGCATAAAAACCATCTTAGGGCAGCTGTGTGAGCTTCTACTGGTGCAAGCGATCACTCTGCAGTCACTCCAGAGCTAGCCTTCACAGGAGATTTAAAACAACATCATTCACAAATCATGAACATTAGTCACAGGGTAGGCAGAGGAAACTGAAATGCTCTGAAGTTAACACTGAATTTGACCTCCAAGGATTTAAATTTACTTCGACAAAGGTAGGTAATTTAGAGAGACGGCATGAAGTTGTTATAAGTTCGGTGGTAGGTTGGTAGGTGGGTTTTTTTTTCTTTTTTTTTTCCCCCTCCTCTTCTCAGTAATTTTTTAAATAGTTCTAAGATTGCTAAAATTGACCTTCAGAGGAGAAATATTTACAGTAGACCGAGGTTTTTGAATTAGAAGGAGGAAAGTGAAAAAATCATTTATTAATAATCCTGTTTGAGGACTAGCTTAACAGGCAAAAGATCAATTCCACAAAAAATGGAAGACATTCAAAGGCCAAAAGTCAACCATTGCATAAGCCAGGAGCCAAAAGCCTGCAAACATACAGTATCACCCCATTCACAGCATAACATATTGGAGTAAATACAGTCTACAATTTTTAGAGGATTACCATGCATCCAGAAGGGCACAATATTAATCTTCCTGTCTCTTCATTATACACACAATGTCCAGAACAACCTTTGCAAGAAAGTTTCTTAAACTAGTTTCCTAAGCGTAGATCTTACTCTAAACATCACGCACACTTTTCATTGTTTTTAAAACAATAATTTCTCAGTGATACAAGTCAAATAGAAGAACTGCCCAACGGACTTTAAGGTTTGTCTCACATCCGCTGTACACGCACATGCGAATGCCCACGCTCAGCTCTAGGCACACTCTCAGGCTTCTCGTATGCAGTGGCAGTACTTGAGTTTGGAGAGTTAAGCATGGGAAAAAACATCTGAAAGTACTCAGAGGTCGTTTAAAACTTTACTGTAGCATAGGTTTTATAAGAATGATGGTACAGGGCAGATCAGAGACCTGTATCACTACTACCAATGGATGCTTAGGGAAGAGCAGATAAAGCAAAGCAAGCAGAGACTAAGAACAATCCATTCAACCTCCTGCAAGTTGTTGTCAGGGCCTTCCTCGAATAGATCGAGTATCTTTGTATCTAATAACCTAGAACCCTAAAAATCAAACACTAAGTTTATAAGCTGTTCTCATGTCAACTTACAGTAGTGCTGTATCTCAGTGCATCTGCTCTCTTCTCTACTACTAAATCAAACTCCAGTTTGCCCAGCTCATTTTAGAACACATTGGCTGCTCTGCTTAATCACGTGTTTTTCCTCTACAAAAAGCGAAGAAACAATTGACAAGGCTCAATGTTTATGTACTGCGGTTAGCCAAAACCGGCCAACGCAGTTAAATTCTGACCCTTCTCAAATCATAAACGAGATATGTTTACCATCCTCCTAAAACGCATTAGCGGGCAAGGAACATGCATCATGTTAATGTGCATATGAAGCCTCTGACTGTCCAGAACAGAGTTATGACTACTCAACATCCAGTAACCAGGAAAAGTTCCTGCTCTTGTTTAGAGAGCAATCACCACCATAGTACATTCAGCCAAGTAGAAAGACAGTAGCAAAAGACATGCAGCTACAACCCAAATAATAGGAATGATAAACACACACAAGGCTCCCAGAACACCAGGGACTTCATAGCGCAAGCAATAGTTGCTTTCAAACCTTCTAGTTTCTGGGTTTTTATACTGCACTTGCAACAGTTTCCCAAGTTTTTCCTCCACAGACTTGAGCGCTGCAAAATCCGTTAGTTTTAACATTAAAAACAAAGATTCTCTCAGTCCTCTGTATCTGGAAGCTGGAGCCTTAAGAAATACACTGAACGCCATTCAGTCAACTTACACTAGAATGTGCAAAAGCTGCCAACAGTAAAATAATTAATCCTTCATACGTAAGTTTTTAAAGAACTAGATGTGTAAGGCACCAATTCAGCAAAACTTTAACCCAACTGACTTTACTAGGATATCACATGCTTAAATAGTTTGCCGAATCGGATCTTAAATATAGCAACCCACTTGGAAAGAAAGGAAACAGTCACAAGCCAACATTTCTGTCACCTCCTTTAGGTAATATTCAGTGTAATAACTGAATTACTCCAAATCATGCGTTGCTTAAAACAACTGCTTGAGGTCACATCTTTGATCAAACTAATCCAAACCTCAAAACAGTAAAAAGAGGGTTCAATATCACAATATCATGCTCCATTCTTAACCGGTCTTTTTGGATTTTCAAGAACAGCCTTTTTAGTTTTTGAGACACTACACTTGTGAAGCTTTGTTGCCTTACCTACCAAAGGTGACTACACCAAGGCAAGACAAGAAACCTTTTGCAAAAGTCCAGATAATCATTATCTCCTCATTCTCCCTCCAGTGCTTGGGAAATGCTGCTTCTTTTAAGAGAGACACTGGAACCCTGACACAGGTTTCTGTCCTAACCTTACAGGATTTGAGGACACTTAGCATGTTGTTCCAGCCTCAAGAGAGGATTTATCTGAGAAGAAAACAACAACAACAACAACGAAGCAGGTTCTCACAGGTCTTTGGGTTATCACCTGTAAGTAAACTGTGTCCCCAGTTCACTGTATTAGCAGCAGCTTCGGCTGAATCCCGCTGCACAAAGCCAAGAAAACGACTGGCAAAGGTTCACACGAAATAGGGGGTTGAGCCACCTAGAAAGATCCCTGAAGTGCTTTCATTTCCCATGTGTTTACAGAAATAGAGCCCCTCCCTGCTCCAGCTAAAAATAAAACTATATCCAGTGACAAGTAGTTACTTTTCTTTAGATTAATGTCTAGCCCAAGGATAATGATAAGGCTTTCACTGGTAGTCCATGGCTGAGAACTGACAACCAGTATCTGCTTAAAAGGAAAACTGTCTGCAATACTGTCTAGTCCAACATGATATGGGGCTTTAAACACACCCCAGAGATGGCTCCTCTGACCTCAGACACGCTTATGCAAGTTTCAGCAAGGAAAGTGACCAATTCTTTTAAAGTCACTGGTTTTAACACCACCCTTATGTTAAGGGGGGAGATTTACCTCCAACAACCAACGCTTTGGAAACATGAAGTGTACATCAACAATTTCAGGCACGGACTTCTCTGTAATTAGCCAACTTCTGTCTCGTTAGAGTAGCATCATCAGGGTTTAGGGTTTCATTATGTAACTCTAATGGCATAGTCATAGCAAAGGTGAAGCAAATCCTGTTTTACCAAGCATTTAAGAAGGTAAGATAATTTTCAGCCCCAGTGCTTCTATGTCACAGTTACACAGCTGGATTTAGGCTGCTTTCCTGCATTTCCATCGGTAAACGCTGTGATGGAACAGGGAGGAGCACAGAAGACAGCTGAAGCACAAAGCAGAGAGGTTTGCCTCGAAAAGGAGCTACTTTAATACTCATTTCCTTCCTATACCATAACATAGAGGTCTGTCGCCCAAGGCAGTGTTTTGCCAAGCACTGGCAAAAACAAAGCAGCAACTTCTTGCTCTGCTCTTTCATTAATATAGGGATAATCAATACATACCTAACCGAGAGGGATATCTTGAAGCAGCTGGTTACATGGGAAATCAGGATTTCTTCCCCCCTCCTTTTTTTCCTCCACCCAATAAAAAAAAAGGAACTTGATAACAGTATTTGACAGCCCATCTCTGTCAGGCTCTGAAAACCACATTCACATCCTCATTTATTCCCAGGCTCCGGTATTGTAGAAGGTGAGTCAGCCCGAGACCTGGTCAGCAACTAAGGAGTTAAGTTGTTTCAGGTGCTATATCCAACCAGCAAGCCCCTCTGCCAACGCTCTTGGCTAATATTTCTCCCAGAGGCATGCATACAAACAAGAAAAAGCAACTACGACCTACAGGAGGAGAAGAGCTTTTACTATTCACAGCGTAGAGAGGCGTAATGCGACGTTCCTTTCCAATGTCAGCCCTTATTTGTACTTCTAGTCAGGAAAACTTGATTGTTACTCATTCACTCTCAGTTGTGAGAGCTGAAACAAACCCTCAATTAAGAGGACGCAACTGGAAAAATCTACTCCTTTACGGAGAAATAAGTAGCATCTGAGCTTCTTTGAGTTAAGAGTGATCAACAATTTACCGTTTAATCACTAGCTCCCCCCTTATATAGCAATAATTGTTGCAAAGGCAGGGGGGAAAAAAAAAAAACACAGTGACTACTCTATAGAGAGGCAACGATTTCTGCACAGTGAAGTCCGTCTGCAATTATGCATTAGTCAAGGATACGTAAAAATCTTAAAATAATACCTTTTATTAGCCTAAGCCAGAAATTGCAAAAGCTGTTAAGACTCAGCCTTATCCCTTAGTAAGGGGTTTGGAAAGAAGTCTTTCCCTCCGTTCCCTTCTTCATAAAAGCGAGGGGAAAGCAGAAACACGCCGCCTATGTTTTTAAGGCTTTATTGTTAGAGCTTCAGAATTTCTGTAAAAGTAAAGAAATTGGACAAAGCCCCTCCACCCCAGCCCGGTATTTCTTGCCTGTTTCGCGTTTCCTGAAGCAGGGACCAGTCTCGCTACACCCTCCTACAGGACCCGGCACCACAGAGCTCTATTTTCAACTGCGTCCTCTTGGTGCAACGCTAAAACGAACAACAAAACAAAAAAGCTATGAAGAAAACGTGCCCTTAAGAAGGTGGATTACTGAAAATCTAGATGCTTTTTTTTTTTTTAAAAAAAAAAAAGGGCTGTGGTTGCTTCTTACACATACCCGAGCTCCTCCGAAACTAGGTT